GCCCCGACTTACGATAATTTCGAGTTAGGATATAAATTTGATCGGAAAATGCGACTCAACTTAGGATAGTGTCGTCCACTAACGATATTTGTCGATACACGCTCGGGTTGACCAAGCACGTGGTTCCCGGTCTGACCTGCCTCAGTTTAATAGAGCCGCCAGCTTAGTGACGATCACGCTTATGAAGAATTCTATTTTTTGGGTGATTTTTTGCTTTTTGAACATAAAACTGATTATTATACAGTATATCATGCCATGGGTCCCAAGAAAGTCAGTGGTAAAGTTCAACATATGAAAACACATGTGAGGATGACCATAGAGGTAGTACAGCACATCCCTTCCTCAAAAATTAAGAAAATGTGTGCAGCATGGAAAGAACTGTAAACTGTTGCTGAAACGACTCGCCCAAATCAAGCTGCAGTAGGCCGTTGCCTTTACCTTTTCAATGACACTGTGATGCATCACTACAGACAAATGTTAAAACGAAGGGAAAAACAAGTGTCGCTAGACAAATTTTTAGCGAGACAAACTAGCAGTGAACCACAACCAGGTCCTAGTGGTATGCAGGCAAAACGTAGGAGAGAGTGTACCCCCAGAGAAATCATCACTGCCTGATGTTATAATGGAAGGGGACTCCCCTTCCAAACAGTAACATCTCTCCTTCCCCCCCCCCCTCCTCATCACCATCTTCCATACACCATCAAGAGTCCTCCATAAGGGTAAGATAAACATATGTACTGTATTGTAGTTAGAGAAATTTTGTTTATTCAGTATAAAATGTATTTTCAAGTTAATATTTTTGGGGGTGTGGAATGGATTAATTCAATTTCTTTATTTCTTATGGGAAAAATCGTTTAGACTTGCGATACGTCTCTGGGAACAGATTATCATCGTAAATCGAGGCCCCACTGTACAAGGCTTTGTAGATTTTTATATAATTAAAGAAAAACTTCATTCTACCACTGGTATATCTCCTGAATTACTGTTATGATCATCTCAGGCTGCAGGAGAAACGAGTCTGACCCTGAGAGTTATTCTGCCAGACCTGACCTAACTAAGAGGTCGAAGAAATATAGACATGAAGATACATACGTTAAGCAATTGGTTAAATTTGACAAATGGATTAAAAGTATGGGCAGTGAATAAGAATATAAATAAATGACTTGAGATGTAGAGAATTTACTGGAGGTGTGAGGCTCGCTTCAGAGGGTCCTTGACCTCACTTGAGCTGAAAAAATCGTGAGGGGAGGTCGTGCTCCATTTGAGCCCCTGGTGAAGAACCCGTTTGATATACCTTCAAGAAGGAAATGGACCGACTTTTCGAATGTGGAATAAGTCTGTGGACGTGTCAGCTCAAGTCGTGGACTGCAGCGAGAGTGCGGAGCAGTCTTTAAAGCAGTTTTGGGGGCAGCTTAGAGCGCTCTGGTGGCGGCCGCTCAGTCAGTGGGCACCGTGAGCGGACCAAATTCTGTGGTAAGCTCATTTTAACCAGTTAACAGTGATTGCCTGTTGTTGGTCGGTGCCCAGTGACCGTAGCGGATGTTTATTGATATATTAGGCATGTTTAATTGAGGCAGAAAGCCTAAATAAGAGGATAGAGATAAGGGAGCCAGCTGGAGGGAGCAGCAGTACATCCTTCCCCGCTGAGTGCCTCTAGCCAACTGAAGGAGGCGGCGGCAGCAGGCAGACAGAGGCGGAGTTGGCCTCGTCCGGTCGTGGGGAAGTCCACTCACGGCTATGGTGATCAGAGGGATGTCGAGTGGAGACATTTATTATGCATAAGTTTATTTTAGTTACTTGTTTATAGGGAAACATTTTTATTGGCGTGTCAATGGGCTGCAGGTTTGTCTGGGGGAAAAAGAGTTGCTGAGTGGACTTCGAGCCAGTAGAGTGAGTTAGTGAAAGAGACTCCAAGGCTGTTGAAAGAGTAGTGTACTCTGAAGAGTAGCCCCCACAGTGAAGAGTAGGACCTCGAGCTGTGAGGAGAAGCAGTGAAGAGGAGTGTCGTGTGCTTCTGTAATACCAGTGGTGAAACAGAGTATTGAGTATACTCAATAAACATAGAGTAAACATATAGCATAGAGTATTGGAGTTATTATTGTATCTTGTATGTATGTTGTATGTATTCTCTGTATATTAAATGTTGATAATCATCAGGTGTTTGCCCTTGTCCTAGTGAGGCTTCCCAGAAAGCAAAAGAGAGAGAGAGAGAACCATAGCTGTGAACAGGGTAGTACAGAATAATAATTCAGAAAATGTGATTGAGGAGATCATATCAACCAAGGAGAGAGTGGGGAGTCACGGCGGCTCAAGTGGGGTGTGTGCACGTGACAACGAGGCAGTGTTGGAGCCACATCCCCTAAATGTGTGACGCTGAGCCCCTCTCCAAAAGCAAGAAGCGTACAGGGTGATCTCCTGATTGAAGTATAAGCACTCTACAGAGATTTTGGTGGGTTGTCCGGAAGGAACAATCCATCGACCCACAACAACGTAATACTGTTTAATAGGCACTTTAAAGTGCACATGGAGGCAGTCAAGACAGATCCAGATAAAGAGTAATCAGTAACTAGCTTGGCCAATCAGTTGGCTCAGGGTGAGGAATTGTTATTTAACGAGGGGGGGGGGGTGCAGTATGTTGACCAGACCACACACTAGAAGGTGAAGGGACGACGATGTTTCGGTCTGTCCTGGACCATTCTCAAGTCGATCGACTTGAGAATGGTCCAGGACGGACCGAAACGTCATCGTCCCTTCACCTTCTAGTGTGTGGTCTGGTCAACATGCTTTAGCCATGTTCTTGTGACTCATCGCCTGCATGGGGTGCAGTATATGCAAGGAATTTTGGAATTGGTAAGCCTTGGGTAGAAGAGAAAATTAGGGAAGTCTTAGGCTGCAGGAATTTCACCATGCAAGTGCAGAGTTTTGGGAACATTAATTGGAAACTACACGCAGATCAACTCATGCCAAGGTTCACGGGGAATTTTGAAGACCCTTCAGGTGGGGGGGTGTGACAACTAGTGATACCCAACTTAATAATGAAGGGATATCATCTGCAGGAGACAGGGACGCAGAGCAAGGGGCAATAGAGGGGAATGTGGATACAGCTAATCCTATGGACTCTACAGTTAGTAATTCAGAAGAAGGTTCCCCAGAAGTAACAGGTCTGGAGCCCCAGTTGAGAAAATCGTGAAGTCATACAACCACCTGATAGACTTAGAAATATGCCTTAGATAGACTTAGGCTTGTAGGGGTAGCGTTTAATTAAAAAGAGAGGAATGTTAGGATTAGGCATTTTGTAGGATTAAGTACTACAGAGATTAGGAGTAGCATGTTTTGAGCAGATGTAAAAAACAAAAAAGAAAGGGCAAGTGCCTTTTTTTGTTTATAAGCATTGTAAATAGTAAGTTATGTAACGCATACCGGTGATGTGATTGATTGTTGTTGTCGTTTAGAATAAAGCCATGAGAAGACGAAGTTTGTTTCTCCTCCAGCCTAAACGTAACACCCCCCCTGTGGAGGGTCCCCCTTCATAAGTTTTGTAAAACCTTTACCCCATGCGACTAAAGGTTTTTACCCTCCTACAGTTCTGAAGTGCCTTTTCCTTGAACACTATTCTTCACACTCCCGTTCCATTGCCATCTTCATCGATGGGCCTATGTCTGCAGACGATGTAGGCTAATCTTTTTTTTGTCTTGACCACACCTATATGTGTCGCCTGCCTCCGGAAACGGCAGAACTTTTATGCTTTTTGTATGCTCTTTGTCAACTGCTTTCTCATTGTCAATCCTCCTTTGTTGTTGTAATTGACTCTCGCAGTGCCCTCATGGCTCTGGAGTCCTTTAATCCAGTCCATCCGGTGGTAGTCGAGATTCAACATTGGCTGTTTATCTCCAGCAGATTTAAGACAGTGGAGTTTTGCTGGGTTCTCAGCCATATTGGTGTGTCCTTAAATGAGCGTGCGGATGCTGCCACTAAGGAGGCTATCCGCACTGCTACCGGACTGTCCCTCGATGGAATTCTTGGTGAAACGGATACCTTTGATATCATTCGCCATATGCACTTTTGTTCTCGTACTGACATCCTTAGTGATATTTAGTGCCCTATGATTATCCTGCACATTTGATGGTACTACATACCCTTCCCAGCTTAGTGCCTTCTTTTGATAATTACTTACTAGTACAGGTGCTCCTTATCCTGTACCTTGGGTATTGAGCAAGCTTGTTGAGGTGCTCCTTGTCCTGTGCCTTGGGTATTGAGCAAGCTTGTCGAGGTGCTCCTTGTCCTGTACCTTGGGTATTGAGCAAGCTTGTTGAGGTGCGTCTTGTCCTGTGCCTTGGGTATTGAGCAAGCTTGTTGAGGTGCTCCTTGTCCTGTGCCTTGGGTATTGAGCAAGCTTGTTGAGGTGCTCCTTGTCCTGTGCCTTGGGTATTGAGCAAGCTTGTTGAGGTGCTCCTTGTCCTGTGCCTTGGGTATTGAGCAAGCTTGTTGAGGTGCTTCTTGTCCTGTGCCTTGGGTATTGAGCAAGCTTGTTGAGGTGCGTCTTGTCCTGTACCTTGGGTATTGAGCAAGCTTGTTGAGGTGCTTCTTGTCCTGTGCCTTGGGTATTGAGCAAGCTTGTTGAGGTGCTCCTTGTCCTGTGCCTTGGGTATTGAGCAAGCTTGTTGAGGTGCTTCTTGTCCTGTGCCTTGGGTATTGAGCAAGCTTGTTGAGGTGCTCCTTGTCCTGTGCCTTGGGTATTGAGCAAGCTTGTTGAGGTGCTCCTTGTCCTGTGCCTTGGGTATTGAGCAAGCTTGTTGAGGTGCTTCTTGTCCTGTGCCTTGGGTATTGAGCAAGCTTGTTGAGGTGCGTCTTGTCCTGTACCTTGGGTATTGAGCAAGCTTGTTGAGGTGCTTCTTGTCCTGTGCCTTGGGTATTGAGCAAGCTTGTTGAGGTGCTCCTTGTCCTGTGCCTTGGGTATTGAGCAAGCTTGTTGAGGTGCGTCTGTGTGATGAGCACAAAAATTCTGAATTTAACCTTTATTGTATTATTTACCTTAACTACATAATGGAACTTGACTTTACTGTATGTATTCGTTATTGCTCTTTAACAAATTATATTTCTCTAGATTTAGGACAGAAAATGGAAGATGTCTTAAAATAAATATAAAGAAAAAGATGACATAATTCTTGGCAGGCAGTTTTATTTCCTGAAGGTTGAGGAGGAACATCTGGATGTAGCTGAAGTAATCGAAGCGACTCCGTGGACTCTAGACCCCGAAGCAGATGTACTTAAGTTGAGTGTACTCATCAAGGCCGTGTTTAGAGCCTTCCTTGCCAAGTCCTGAGTGCTTAAAGCCTCCAAAAGGTGCCTCACAGGTCGAGACAAGAGCCTCATTCACGCCGACCATCCCCACCTCCAGCGCCTCCGCTACCCTCCACACCTGACTCATATCGTTGGAGTAGAAGTAACCTGTCAGGGAACACATGGATGGTTACTGTAACCTGTGAGGGGAAACATGGATGGTTACTGTAACCTGTGAGGCGAACATGGATGGTTACTGTAACCTGTGAGGGGAAACATGGATGGTTACTGTAACCTGTGAGGGGAACATGGATGGTTACTGTAACCTGTGAGGGGAAACATGGATGGTTACTGTAACCTGTGAGGGGAACATGGATGGTTACTGTAACCTGTGAGGCGAACATGGATGGTTACTGTAACCTGTGAGGCGAACATGGATGGTTACTGTAACCTGTGAGGGGAAACATGGATGGTTACTGTAACCCGTGAAGGGATGACGTCGGTGCCAACTCTTCCATTTTCAGAATATATTATTGTATTTTGTGGGATTGTATAACATATTTTCTCATGTATATTGTGTTATTATTTAACTCGCGAGACTTCCTGTCTCTGGTGACTCGCCTGCCGCCCCATGTCTCTGGTGACTCGCCTGCCGCCCCATGTCTCTGGTGACTCGCCTGCCGCCCCATGTCTCTGGTGACTCGCCTGCCGCCCCATGTCTCTGGTGACTCGCCTGCCGCCCCATGTCTCTGGTGACTCGCCTGCCGCCCCATGTCTCTGGTGACTCGCCTGCCGCCCCATGTCTCTGGTGACTCGCCTGCCGCCCCATGTCTCTGGTGACTCGCCTGCCGCCCCATGTCTCTGGTGACTCGCCTGCCGCCCCATGTCTCTGGTGACTCGCCTGCCGCCCCATGTCTCTGGTGACTCGCCTGCCGCCCCATGTCTCTGGTGACTCGCCTGCCGCCCCATGTCTCTGGTGACTCGCCTGCCGCCCCATGTCTCTGGTGACTCACCTGCCGCCCCATGTCTCTGGTGACTCACCTGCCGCCCCATGTCTCTGGTGACTCACCTGCCGCCCCATGTCTCTGGTGACTCACCTGCCGCCCCATGTCTCTGGTGACTCACCTGCCGCCCCATGTCTCTGGTGACTCACCTGCCGCCCCATGTCTCTGGTGACTCACCTGCCGCCCCATGTCTCTGGTGACTCACCTGCCGCCCCATGTCTCTGGTGACTCACCTGCCGCCCCATGTCTCTGGTGACTCACCTGCCGCCCCATGTCTCTGGTGACTCACCTGCCGCCCCATGTCTCTGGTGACTCACCTGCCGCCCCATGTCTCTGGTGACTCACCTGCCGCCCCATGTCTCTGGTGACTCACCTGCCGCCCCATGTCTCTGGTGACTCACCTGCCGCCCCATGTCTCTGGTGACTCACCTGCCGCCCCATGTCTCTGGTGACTCACCTGCCGCCCCATGTCTCTGGTGACTCACCTGCCGCCCCATGTCTCTGGTGACTCACCTGCCGCCCCATGTCTCTGGTGACTCACCTGCCGCCCCATGTCTCTGGTGACTCACCTGCCGCCCCATGTCTCTGGTGACTCACCTGCCGCCCCATGTCTCTGGTGACTCACCTGCCGCCCCATGTCTCTGGTGACTCACCTGCCGCCCCATGTCTCTGGTGACTCACCTGCCGCCCCATGTCTCTGGTGACTCACCTGCCGCCCCATGTCTCTGGTGACTCACCTGCCGCCCCATGTCTCTGGTGACTCACCTGCCAGGCCCCACTCCCCAGTAACTCACCAGCCAGGCCCCACTCCCCAGTAACTCACCTGCCAGCCCCCACTCCCCAGTAACTCACCTGCCAGCCCCCACTCCCCAGTAACTCACCTGCCAGCCCCCACTCCCCAGTAACTCACCTGCCAGCCCCCACTCCCCAGTAACTCACCTGCCAGCCCCCACTCCCCAGTAACTCACCTGCCAGCCCCCACTCCCCAGTAACTCACCTGCCAGGCCCCTGTCAGTGGTGTTGGCGAGAGTGACCACCTCTTCCTCCGTGGTAAACTTGATGATAGGAGCCACGGGGCCAAATATCTCTTGCTTAGCGAGGGGCATGTCCGGGGTGACGGCGGTGAGGAGTGTCGGGGTGTAGTAGAGGCCGCCGTGGGCTGCCCCGCCCCGCACCACCTCCGCCCCCAGCCTCACACTCTCCTGCACCATCTGCTCCAGCTGCTCCGTGTACCGCGGCCCCAGAAAAGGTAAAGGTAACGGGTCTTAGGGTAGCGATAAATACAGGAAAAATGTATCTGTTTTGAGTTGCTTGTCATCCGGCGCCAGACTCGTCTGCACCTTGGACTGACAACCACTGTAGTCTCTCCTGTTCCACCCGTTCACTACATCAGCAATTGTGAGGATTTGCATAAGTTACCAATAAAACCTTCTATTATTATCAATATTACATTTTAACCAAATTTTGTTTGATGAGACATCATATTTCTGTCAGTAGAAGCTGTTTCTGTAAGTAGATGGCCACTGCTTGATCGCAAGCGGGGATGTTTCTGATGGGGGAGAAAGAAACATTTGCGCAGCGCGTCCCACGGCGTTGCGCGGGCAGTCTGGGCCCGTATAAATACGGGGGCACAGAGGGGCTCTGCCCTCACTCCGCCTGCCCCGCCGCTGCCCTCGCAAAGCCCACCCACCTCCCCTTTGCAAGCGGCTGTCTTTGTACCCCCGTCATGCTTTGCACAGTTGTCCCCTTTTCTCCCCACTGCATGTGGGAAGGGGGGTGCAGCGCCGGTCCCCAAGTGTCCCGCTGTCCGCAGCTAATACTTTGCCCAGTCTAGGTGCTAGTAAGCCCTACTTGTAGTCACACCCCCTTCTCCTTATTCATTAGGTCTTTTACGGCCTCTTGGCCGGGTACATTACGTGTTATGTGGTCTCTCACTTATTAGTTATTCTTTGTGTCCTGCCTGTTATATCCTAGTGTTATATAATTACTACACATTTGCACTCGGCCTTAATTCTAGTACCAGTTAACCTTTAGGTTTCTGCAGAATTAGTTTCCATGTCACTATAGGCTAAGGTCTCATACTTACTACGGGTGTACCTTTTAAGTTAAATCTAGTCCGAGGACTTGGAATTGTTACTGTTAATTCTTACTTTATATATTTTAATATAAACTTTATATATTTACTTACTTTATATATTTGAAACTTTATATATTTACATGTTCTGCAGAATTTAATCTTCAATAAATTTAAAGCCCCATACTGCCAGTATCTTTCTCCCCCTGATCAGAAAAAACTGTTTGTCAGTGGAAGCTGTTTCTGTCAGTAGAAGCTGTTTCTGTCAGTAGAAGCTGCTTCTGTCAGTAGAAGCTGTTTCTGTCAGTGGAAGCTGTTTCTGTCAGTAGAAGCTGCTTCTGTCAGTAGAAGCTGCTTCTGTCAGTAGAAGCTGTTTCTGTCAGTAGAAGCTGCTTCTGTCAGTAGAAGCTGTTTCTGTCAGTAGAAGCTGCTTCTGTCAGTAGAAGCTGTTTCTGTCAGTAGAAGCCGTTTCTGTCAGTAGAAGCTGCTTCTGTCAGTAGAAACTGTTTCTGTCAGTAGAAGCTGTTTCTGTCAGTAGAAGCTGCTTCTGTCAGTAGAAACTGTGTTTGTCAGTAGAAACTGTTTCTGTCAGTAGAAGCTGTTTCTGTCAGTAGAAGCTGTTTCTGTCAGTAGAAGCTGTTTCTGTCAGTAGAAGCTGTTTCTGTCAGTAGAAGCTGTTTCTGTCAGTAGAAGCTGTTTCTGTCAGTAGAAACTGTTTCTGTCAGTAGAAACTGTTTGTCAGTAGAAACTGTTTCTGTCAGTAGAAACTGTTTCTGTCAGTAGAAACTGTTTGTCAGTAGAAACTGTTTCTGTCAGTAGAAACTGTTTGTCAGTAGAAACTATTGCTGCCAATAAAAACAGTTTACAAGTTTGATAGTTTTGCGCGAAATGCCGAGTGTATTAGTGGCTTGTGACACAGTATATACTGACTATCTAGAACTCCAACATTCTCCCAGTGACTCATTTTGTATGTTTGTACTTTTACCTAAATAAAGTATTATAATTATTATTATTATTTTTATTATTTTAGTATTATTATAACGGATTATAACCCACGGAGCCGCCTACCCATTGAAGATGTAAATACCCAAACTCTGATGAACTTTAACACCGCCGTCGTCACCACCACCACCACCACCGCCGCCACCACCACCATATTGATGGATTTAAAGATAGAGCTAGTACATACAGTGCCTAAAGCCACTATTACTCAAAGCGTTTCGGGCAGGAAAAACACTAATGACTAAAACTTAATGCTAATCGAGATTAAAGTATAAAATGTGTTGAGAAAATATAAAAATAAAAAAGGGGGAACATGGCAGAAAAACAGCAAATACACAATTAGGCCAACAAACAACATTGTTTAAAATAACAGACATGGGTTGACATTATAGGGGGGTAAGGTAGGTTACATGGAGTTAATTAGGTAGCACTTAGTTTTAATCTTAAACTGGTTGAGAGAGGTACAGTCTTAACATGGTTGGGAAGGTCATTCCACATTCTGGGTCCCTTGATTTGTAGAGCATTTCTGGTTAGGTTAAGGTGCACTCTTGAAATGTCATTATGATGGCGACGATGCCAATAATGTTGTTGATAATATGATGATGATGATTGGAGTGGAGTGGACTTACTCGGTGTAGCTGGCGGGAGTTGATGAGCGGTCCCTGGGTGACGGCGGGGTCGAGGCCGCTGCCCATCTTCAGCTGCTGGTCCATGGCCTGCGCCAGGCGGGACACGAAGTCGTCGTGGATACTCTCGTGCACGAAGATACGGTTGGCTGTGACGCATGTCTGTACACGCCAGGGGTATATGACACCATGTTAGCAGGTCATGACTTGTCTATCGTTCACCAGGCTACACAACACGTGTACATACACATATAGCTAACTCGGTACACTTTTAAAAGTAAATATAGTAAGCAAAATGTCGGAACTGAATCAATACATTAAAATTAAAGGGTGGTGGAGCTAAGAGCCAAGCTTGTCATTGCAAGCACATCTAAATGAGAACATCAGGGTGAGTAAACACAATTTTTGCTGATGATGCAAAAAATATGAGGTTTAAAACAGGATGACAGTAGGAGGCTATAAGATGACTTAGACAGACTGAAGGAATGGTCCAACAAATGGCTACTAAAGTTCAACCCTAGTAAATGCAAGGTCATGTAACTAGACGGTGCAAACAGGAGGCCAGACACTGGATACCGAATGGGAAATGAAGTACTTCATGAAACGAACAGAGAGAAAGATCTAGGCGTTGATATCACACCAAACCTGTCTCCCGAAGCCCACATAAAAAGAATTACATCAGCGGCATACGCGAGGCTGGCTAACATCAGAACTGCCTTCAGGAACCTGTATAAGGAATCACTCAGAACCTTGTATACCACATATGTAAGACCAATCCTGGAGTATGCGGCTCCTGCATGGAGCCCGTACCTTGTCAAGCACAAGACGAAGCTGGAAAAAGTCCAAAGGTATGCCACTAGACTAGTCCCAGAACTAAGAGGCATGAGTTACGAGGAAAGGCTGCGGGAAATGCACCTTACGACACTGGAAGATAGAAAAGGGGGAAACATGATCACTACCTACAAAATTCTCAGAGGAATTGACAGGGTAGATAAGGATAAACTGTTCAACACTGGTGGTACGCGAACAAGGGGACACAGGTGGAAACTGAGTACCCACATGAGCCACAGGGACGTTAGAAAGAACTTTTTCAGTGTCAGAGTAGTTAACAGATGGAATGCATTAGACAGTGATGTGGTGGAGGCTGACTCCATACAGAGGTTCAAATGTAGATATGATAGAGCCCAATAGGCTCAGGAATCTGTACTATAGAAATAACAGGACACATGAGAGCAGAGAAGGTTACCAGAGAGCCAGGAAGGAATACGTCAGGGTGAGAAGAGAGGCAGAAGGGCAATATGAAATGGTCACTGCTTGATCGCAAGCGGGGATTTTTCTGGCGGGGGAGAAAGAAACAATTGCGCAGCGCGTCCCGCGGCGTTGCGCGGGCAGTTTGGGGCCGTATAAATACGGGCGCACCACTGGGGCTCTGCCTCACTCCGCCTGCCCTCGCCGCTGCCCTCGCAAAACCCCACCCTCCCCCCCTTTGCAAGCAGCTGCTTTTGTATCCCCGTCATGCTTTGCACAGTTGTCCCGTTTGTCTCCCCACTGCATGTGGGAAGGGGGGTGCAGCGCCGGTCCCCAAGTGTCCCGCTGTCCGCAGCTAATACTTTGCCCAGTCTAGGTGCTAGTAAGCCCTACTTGTAGTCACACCCCCTTCTCCTTATCCATTAGGTCTTTTACGGCCTCTTGGCCGGGTACATTACATGTTATGTGGTCTCTCACTTATTAGTTATTCTTTGTGTCCTGCCTGTTATATCCTAGTGTTATATAATTACTACACATTTGCACTCGGCCTTAATTCTAGTACCAGTTAACCTTTAGGTTTCTGCAGAATTAGTTTCCATGTCACTATAGGCTAAGGTCTCATACTTACTACGGGTGTACCTTTTAAGTTAAATCTAGTCCTCGGACTTGGAATTGTTACTGTTAATTCTTACTTTATATATTTACTTTATATATTTTAATATAAACGTTATATAGTCCTTAAGTTATATATTTTGAAACTTTATATATTTACATGTTCAATATTAAGTTTAATAATATCAACTTTGTTATAAGTCTATAATATAAACCGTGTTTAATATAAACTTTATATAATTACTTACTTCATATTTGAACTTTATATATTTACATGTTCTGCAGAATTTAATCTTCAATAAACTTTAACGCCCCATACTGCCAGTATCTTTCTCCCCCTGGTCAGAAAAACGACATAGCAAGCAAGGCCAAGACCCAACCCAAATTGCTTCACAGTCACATCAGGAGAAAGACATCAGTGAAGGAACAGGTAATGAAACTGAGGATAGGGGCAGACAGATTCACTATAAACGACAAGGAAGTGTGCGAGGAACTCGATATGAAATTCCAGGAGGTCTTCACATTGGAGCAAGGACAAGTTCCAGAGATAATAGAAGGAACAATTAACCAGGCACCACTAGAAGAATTTGAGATTACCAGTGGAGATGTAAGGAAGCTTTTGCTAGAGTTGAATGGGACCAAGGCTCTAGGCCAGGATGGAGTGGAGAAGGCCGAGGCAGAATAGTGACACTGTGGTGATGCCTAATGCCTCTGTTCACCCAGCAGTAAGTAGGTACTCAGGAGTTAGTCAGCTTGTGAGGCTGCATCCTGGGGGGGGGGGTCAGTAACTAGACCATGTGGGGGGGGTGGAGGGACCTCTATTTAAGCCAAAGGTGTATGAATACACTCAGGCTTCCTGTCCCCCGACACAATATATTATAATGCTAATAATATGGAGAAAAGAGAGAGGAGAGGAGGACGGGAGGAGACAGTACCTGTCCGGTGTTGCGGAACTTGGCGGCCATGACGCCAGTGACGGCGGCCTCCAGCTCGGCCGACGGGAACACTATGAACGGCGCGTCGCCCCCCAGCTCCAGCGACACTCTCTTCACCGTGGCCCCACACCGGGAGTACAGCCACTGTGGGGACATGAGGGTACATGAGGGTACAGTCACTGTGGGTACATGAGGGTACAGTCACTGTGGGTACATGAGGGTACAGTCACTGTGGGTACATGAGGGTACAGTCACTGTGGGTACATGAGGGTACATCCACTGTGGGTACATGAGGGTACATCCACTGTGGGTACATGAGGGTACATCCACTGTGGGTACATGAGGGTACAGTTACTATGGCCCCACACCGGGAGTACAGCCACTGTGGGCACATGAGGGTACAGTTACTGTGGGTACATGAGGGTACAGTCACTGTGGGTACATGAGGGTACAGCCACTGTGGGTACATCCACTGTGGGTACATGAGGGTACATCCACTGTGGGTACATGAGGGTACAGTTACTATGGCCCGACACCGGGAGTACAGCCACTGTGGGTACATGAGGGTACATCCACTGTGGGTACACGAGGGTACATCCACTGTGGGTACATGAGGGTACAGTTACTATGGCCCCACACCGGGAGTACAGCCACTGTGGGTACATGAGGGTACATCCACTGTGGGTATATGATGGTACAGTTACTATGGCCCAACACCGGGAGTACAGCCACTGTGGGTACAGTTACTGTGGGTACATGAGGGTACAGTTACTGTGGGTACATGAGGGTACAGTTACTGTGGGTACATGAGGGTACAGTTACTGTGGGTACATGAGGGTACAGTTACTGTGGGTACATGAGGGTACAGTTACTGTGGGTACATGAGGGTACAGTTACTGTGGGTACATGAGGGTACATCCACTGTGGGTACATGAGGGTACAGCCACTGTGGGTACATGAGGGTACAGCCACTGTGGGTACATGAGGGTACAGTTACTATGGCCCCACACCGGGAGTACAGCCACTGTGGGTACATGTGGGTACATGAGGGTACAGTTGCTGTGGGTACATGAGGGTACAGTTGCTGTGGGTACATGAGGGTACAACCACTGTGGGTACACGAGGGTACACCCACTGTGGGTACACGAGGGTACACCCACTGTGGGTACACGAGGGTACACCCACTGTGGGTACACGAGGGTACACCCACTGTGGGTACACGAGGGTACAGCCACTGTGGGTACACGAGGGTACAGCCACTGTGGGTACACGAGGGTACAGCCACTGTGGGTACACGAGGGTACAGCCACTGTGGGTACACGAGGGTACAGCCACTGTGGGTACACGAGGGTACAGCCACTGTGGGTACACGAGGGTACAGCCACTGTGGGTACACGAGGGTACAGCCACTGTGGGTACACGAGGGTACAGCCACTGTGGGTACACGAGGGTACAGCCACTGTGGGTACACGAGGGTACAGCCACTGTGGGTACACGAGGGTACAGCCACTGTGGGTACACGAGGGTACAGCCACTGTGGGTACACGAGGGTACAGCCACTGTGGGTACACGAGGGTACAGCCACTGTGGGTACACGAGGGTACAGCCACTGTGGGTACACGAGGGTACAGCCACTGTGGGTACACGAGGGTACAGCCACTGTGGGTACACGAGGGTACAGCCACTGTGGGTACACGAGGGTACAGCCACTGTGGGTACACGAGGGTACAGCCACTGTGGGTACACGAGGGTACAGCCACTGTGGGTACACGAGGGTACAGCCACTGTGGGTACACGAGGGTACAGCCACTGTGGGTACACGAGGGTACAGCCACTGTGGGTACACGAGGGTACAGCCACTGTGGGTACACGAGGGTACAGCCACTGTGGGTACACGAGGGTACAGCCACTGTGGGTACACGAGGGTACAGCCACTGTGGGTACACGAGGGTACAGCCACTGTGGGTACACGAGGGTACAGCCACTGTGGGTACACGAGGGTACAGCCACTGTGGGTACACGAGGGTACAGCCACTGTGGGTACACGAGGGTACAGCCACTGTGGGTACACGAGGGTACAGCCACTGTGGGTACACGAGGGTACAGCCACTGTGGGTACACGAGGGTACAGCCACTGTGGGTACACGAGGGTACAGCCACTGTGGGTACACGAGGGTACAGCCACTGTGGGTACACGAGGGTACAGCCACTGTGGGTACACGAGGGTACAGCCACTGTGGGTACACGAGGGTACAGCCACTGTGGGTACACGAGGGTACAGCCACTGTGGGTACACGAGGGTACAGCCACTGTGGGTACACGAGGGTACAGCCACTGTGGGTACACGAGGGTACAGCCACTGTGGGTACACGAGGGTACAGCCACTGTGGGTACACGAGGGTACAGCCACTGTGGGTACACGAGGGTACAGCCACTGTGGGTACACGAGGGTACAGCCACTGTGGGTACATGAGGGTACAGCCACTGTGGGTACACGAGGGTACAGTCACTGTGGGTACACGAGGGTACAGTCACTGTGGGTACACGAGGGTACAGTCACTGTGGGTACACGAGGGTACAGTCACTGTGGGTACATGAGGGTACAGTTACTGTGGATACATGAGGGTACAGTTACTGTGGATACATGAGGGTACAGTTACTGTGGGTACATGAGGGTACAGTTACTGTGGCCCCACACCGGGAGTACAGTCACTGTGGGTACACGAGGGTACAGTCACTGTGGGTACACGAGGGTACAGTCACTGTGGGTACACGAGGGTACAGTCACTGTGGGTACACGAGGGTACAGTTACTGTGGGTACATGAGGGTACAGTTACTATGGCCCCACACCGGGAGTACAGCCACTGTGGGTACATGAGGGTACAGTCACTGTGGGTACATGAGGGTACAGCCACTGTGGCCCCGCACCGGGAGTACAGCCACTGTGGGTACATGAGGGTACAGTTACTGTGGGTACATGAGGGTACAGTTACTGTGGGTACATGAGGGTACAGTCACTGTGGGTACATGAGGGTACAGTCACTGTGGGTACATGAGGGTACAGTCACTGTGGGTACACGAGGGCACAGTCACTGAGGGTACACGAGGGTACAGTCACTGGGTACACGAGGGTACAGTCACTGTGGGTACACGAGGGTACAGTCAATGTGGGTACACGAGGGTACAGTCACTGTGGGTACACGAGGGTACAGTCACTGTGGGTACACGAGGGTACAGTCACTGTGGGTACACGAGGGTACAGTCACTGTGGGTACACGAGGGTACAGTCACTGTGGGTACACGAGGGTACAGTCACTGTGGGTACACGAGGGTACAGTCACTGTGGCCCCACACCGGGAGTACAGCCACTGTGGGTACACGAGGGTACAGTCACTGTGGGTACACGAGGGTACAGTCACTGTGGGTACACGAGGGTACAGTCACTGTGGGTACACGAGGGTACAGTCACTGTGGGTACACGAGGGTACAGTCACTGTGGGTACACGAGGGTACAGTCACTGTGGGTACACGAGGGTACAGTCACTGTGGGTACACGAGGGTACAGTCACTGTGGGTACACGAGGGTACAGTCACTGTGGGTACACGAGGGTACAGTCACTGTGGGTACACGAGGGTACAGTCACTGTGGGTACACGAGGGTACAGTCACTGTGGGTACACGAGGGTACAGTCACTGTGGGTACACGAGGGTACAGTCACTGTGGGTACACGAGGGTACAGTCACTGTGGGTACACGAGGGTACAGTCACTGTGGGTACACGAGGGTACAGTCACTGTGGGTACACGAGGGTACAGTCACTGTGGGTACACGAGGGTACAGTCACTGTGGGTACACGAGGGTACAGTCACTGTGGGTACACGAGGGTACAGTCACTGTGGGTACACGAGGGTACAGTCACTGTGGGTACACGAGGGTACAGTCACTGTGGGTACACGAGGGTACAGTCACTGTGGGTACACGAGGGTACAGTCACTGTGGGTACACGAGGGTACAGTCACTGTGGGTACACGAGGGTACAGTCACTGTGGGTACACGAGGGTACAGTCACTGTGGGTACACGAGGGTACAGTCACTGTGGGTACACGAGGGTACAGTCACTGTGGGTACACGAGGGTACAGTCACTGTGGGTACACGAGGGTACAGTCACTGTGGGTACACGAGGGTACAGTCACTGTGGGTACACGAGGGTACAGTCACTGTGGGTACACGAGGGTACAGTCACTGTGGGTACACGAGGGTACAGTCACTGTGGGTACACGAGGGTACAGTCACTGTGGGTACACGAGGGTACAGTCACTGTGGGTACACGAGGGTACAGTCACTGTGGGTACACGAGGGTACAGTCACTGTGGGTACACGAGGGTACAGTCACTGTGGGTACACGAGGGTACAGTCACTGTGGGTACACGAGGGTACAGTCACTGTGGGTACACGAGGGTACAGTCACTGTGGGTACACGAGGGTACAGTCACTGTGGGTACACGAGGGTACAGTCACTGTGGGTACACGAGGGTACAGTCACTGTGGGTACACGAGGGTACAGTCACTGTGGGTACACGAGGGTACAGTCACTGTGGGTACACGAGGGTACAGTCACTGTGGGTACACGAGGGTACAGTCACTGTGGGTACACGAGGGTACAGTCACTGTGGGTACACGAGGGTACAGTCACTGTGGGTACACGAGGGTACAGTCACTGTGGGTACACGAGGGTACAGTCACTGTGGGTACACGAGGGTACAGTCACTGTGGGTACACGAGGGTACAGTCACTGTGGGTACACGAGGGTACAGTCACTGTGGGTACACGAGGGTACAGTCACTGTGGGTACACGAGGGTACAGTCACTGTGGGTACACGAGGGTACAGTCACTGTGGGTACACGAGGGTACAGTCACTGTGGGTACACGAGGGTACAGTCACTGTGGGTACACGAGGGTACAGTCACTGTGGGTACACGAGGGTACAGTCACTGTGGGTACACGAGGGTACAGTCACTGTGGGTACACGAGGGTACAGTCACTGTGGGTACACGAGGGTACAGCCACTGTGGGTACACGAGGGTACAGCCACTGTGGGTACACGAGGGTACAGCCACTGTGGGTACATTCACTGTGGTACACGAGGGTACATTCACTGTGGGTACACGAGGGTACAATCACTGTGGACACACATGGGTACATTCACTGTGGACACACATGGGTACAGTCACTGTGGACACACATGGGTACATGCACTGTGGGTACAGTCACTGTGGGTACACGAGGGTACAGTCACTGAGGGTACACGAGGGTACAGTCACTGTGGGTACATGAGGGTACAGTTACTGTGGGTACATGAGGGTACAGTTACTGTGGGTACATGAGGGTACAGTTACTGTGGCCCCACACCGGGAGTACAGTCACTGTGGGTACACGAGGGTACAGTCACTGTGGGTACACGAGGGTACAGTCACTGTGGGTACACGAGGGTACAGTCACTGAGGGTACACGAGGGTACAGTCACTGTGGGTACACGAGGTAATATATTGTGAAGTGTGGTACACTTGAGACAGACATAATGTGTGGTACACTTGACAGAGACAGAGGGAGAGGGAGGTACACAGGCAACACTTGACAGAGACAGAGGGAGAGGGAGGTACACAGCCAACATTACCTGTCCCACAACAGTGGAGCCGGTGAAGGAGAGGATCTTGACGTCTGGGGAGGTGCAGAGGGCGGCACCTAGCTCCTGGACCCGGCCTCGCGAGCACGGCACCACGTTCACCACTCCGTCAGGCACACCCACCTCCTGGCACACCTGCACACCACACATGACACACATGAACAATGTCACCCAATCTCACTCTTATAATCAGAGTTAATCACACTTCTCAATACAGCTGTACTGAGGACAATACACCTGTATACTTTATTATATCTTGCAGAGAAATAATACAGACCTGCCTGGTGCCCCGAGGCCCGCCTGGTGCCCGTGTAACACCGTAAAGGTGTTTGGTTTAGTTTTATTTAATACATACATAGAGATACACGAGTCAGAGACAAGAATCTGAGAGGGGCCAGTTTGTCGGCCTGAAACTCACACCTCTAAGCGTTAATGACCCCAAGTGACCTGAGGTCAGATCATGCAAATTTCACCTTCCTTCTGCTAATCTGATAATTGGCCTTCAAACATGCTGACGTTTAAGGAGTGACTTGGTAGAGTGCCTGAGGCTATCTACTTGTGGGCGGAGTTAGCTACTAGGTTTCCCAATATATACTGAGGGAGATGGAAGATAGACAGAGATAGAAGAGGAGACCAGTCAGCAGAACACCGCTGCCACCATTGTAACGGGGGGGGGGGGGGGAAATAGCTCTCTCTTATCCATTATTCCACCCCCCCCCAGTTAACTAACGAGGCCGGGGGAAACAGCTCTGTCTAGTCCGTTATCCCGTCCTCAGTTAGCTAACTATTCTAGAGCACCCCCCAGAGTTCCTACGGCAACCTCTCTCGTTCAACACCTTGTAACCTAGGTATTTGACTATCTAGGTTCTTCGCGGCAGGGGATCGTATTCCAGGGACCTGCCCGAAACGCTATGCGTACTAGTGGCTGTACAAGAATGTAACAACTCTTGTATATATCTCAAAAAAAAAAAAAAAAAAAAAAAAAAAAAAAAAAGTAATTAGTGAGGGTTTGGGGGTGAGAGAGGTAGAGAGGTGGGAGGAGCGAGGAGGGTCGTCAGTTGAAAGTGAGAATTTGGAGAGGGGTGGAGGGAGATGAGTAGATAGGTAGAAGTAGAAGAGTAGATAGTAGAAGAAGAAATGCTGCCACCATCCATCCATTTGTTCGTACCTACAAGACAAGGAATGGAACTTGTCTGTATCACAATATTCTCAAGGATGTTATCACGAGGTCATTATTAGTATGTTCCATCTGTATCATGTACTCATTAAAATCATGAAACCAGTAACCACAGAGGCTTTCTCATCTCGACTCAAAAACTCTAGGGAACAAAGTTAAAGACAATTTCAACAATAAATTCATCAATTATATTTCACATACTAAGTATCATAATTTAAGCAATTCAACTTAATGTTCAAGATAAATATGCAAAGTGAGTCATCATCCAAGAATTCGAGAACCCTACAACTTGACTGCCCCTGATCATCACACAACACTTGTAAACTCGACCAAGTCACCTTTCATGCTCAACTCACCAAGTGTCTGCCTATAGCTGGATTGAGAGGGAGGGGGGGGGGGGGGGGAGTCTGCAGTTGTCAGGCAGCATCACCCCCCGTCCGGCGACAGCCTATCTCGACGGCTGGCCTCTGCTCTGCTGGCTGGTCTATCTCTGTCTATCCTCCATCTCCCTCAGTATATATTGGGAAACCTAGTAGCAAACTCCGCCCACAAGTAGATAGCCTCAGGCACTCTACCAAGCCACTCCTTAAACGTCGGTATGTTTGAAGGCCAATTATCAGATTAGCAGAAGGAAGGTGAAATTTGCATGATCTGACCTCGGGTCACTTGGGGTCATTAACGCTTAGAGGTGCGAGTTTCAGGCCGACAAACTGGCACCTCTCAGATCCTTGTCTCTGACTCGTGTATCTCTATGTATGTATTAAATAAAACTAAACCAAACACCTTTACGGTGTTACACCAGTGGTTTACCTTAGCGAAGGCGAGAGCGACGAGGGGCGTGTCCTCTGCCGGCTTGATGACGCAGGTGCAGCCGGCGGCCAGGGCGGCCGACACCTTCCTGGCCAGCATGGCGATGGGGAAGTTCCACTGTGGGGAGGAGGGGCACGGGTTAGTGACCTTGTTGATGGAGCACGATGGAGCACGGGGTTAGTGACCTTGTTGACAGAGTGCGGGGTTAGTGACCTTGTTGACGGAGCACAGGGTTAGTGACCTTGTTGACGGAGCACGGGGTTAGTGACCTTGTTGACGGAGCACGGGGTTAGTGACCTTGTTGACAGAGCACGGGGTTAGTGACCTTGTTGACAGAGCACGGGGTTAGTGACCTTGTTGACAGAGCACGGGGTTAGAACGAAGTGTTTGCCAGTCCTAAACAGTGGACTCCAATCCGTGTTTCTCCCCTCTGGAATTATGTCGGAAATTCCGACACAAAATATTAATTTTTAGCATACCAAGCAAACGCAATCATGTTAGGCAAATAATAACACTAACCATAACATAGCTTAGTTAACCAAACAAAGAAATAAGGATGGAAATCTTGCTATGTCACCTAATTTCTATTTACCTATAAAATTTATATCCAATAATCTTTAAACAGCTAGTCTGGGCACTAGGAACAGTAAAAAAGTGTTACCCATGACTGGATATAATTAAAACGTAAATAAAACCAGTCTACTTCCGCAAGTCGATAAAGACAGATTTAGAACCGTGCTAGTGGACACATCCCTAGCCCGGAGAAGGCGAGGAGATGCCATTAACTCAACCTTATCCCAGTGAACATGTTTGCACGAGTTTTATCAAAACTTCCAGCGAACCATAATGTTGTGGCACAACAGTCACATGTAATTGACACAGACTTCGCTAGCCATAAGAAAGTGTTCTTATCCGGTTGACAGATTAGCAATTTTGGACAGAATATAAATTAGTTAATCTTTTAGGGACAGCTGGAGGAGGTGGCAGCAGTGGCTGGGGGTGGTGGCCATTGGTGGTGGCTGTGGGTGGCAGTTGTGGCTGGGGGTGGTGGAGGCGCCTGGAAGGATGGCCCAGGACCCCAGTTGGCTCTGGAGACCTTGTAGCTTTTGCTCAAGGCAGTCTACTGTGTTGACAGCCTAACTGCTTACAGTAGGTTCAAGCTTAAAATAATCTCAGACATCCGGCGCCCAACGTGGGACTATAGTTGGGAGTCAAATTGTTAGTAAGTAATTATGAAAAGGAAGGCACCAAACCGGAAAGGTTATGTAGCACCATCAAATGTGCGGGATAATCAGAGGGCGCTAAATATCACCAAGGATGCCAATACGAGAACAGAAATGCACAAGGCGAACGATATCAAAAGTATCCGAGTCACCGAGAATACTATCGAGAGACAAGCGACCGCGGGGGACGGTCGGAAAACAAGACACACGCTCGTCCCGGAAGTCAGGACACTCAACAAGGATATGCATGACCGTAAGAGGGACAATGCAATTAGGACAATAAGGAGCAGGTCGGCGCTCCATCAAGTGACCATGGGTTAAGCGAGTATGGCCAATACTCAACCTCGCCAGAGCCATTTCCCCATCGCCGGTTACAGTGGCAGGAGGACGGCCACGAGGACACACAACCTTTAAGAGAACGTAGTTTGTTACCAGTAACAGACAACCAACAAGCCTGCTAACGGGTAAGGATGGAGGAATGGATAACTGGGTAAAATTCGAAATGAATGCCTTTACGAGAGATGGGACAAGAGCGGACAGGTTCCCTGGCGGCAGCATCCGCACGCTCATTTAAAGAGACACCAATATGGCTGGGAACGCAACAAAACTCAACCGACTTAAATTTACTGTTAACAAGAAACAGCCAATGCTGGATCTCGACAACCACAGGATGAACCGGATTAAAAGACCCGAGAGCCATGAGGGCACTACGAGAGTCAACAATAACTACAAAGGAAGATTGACAACGAGAAAGCAGGAGATGAAGAGCAGAGAGAATAGGATAAAGCTCTGCTGTGAAGATGCTAGTCTCCGGAGGTAAGCGACACATATAAGTGTGATCAGGAAAAAACAACAGAGTAGCCAACACCGTCCGCAGACTTAGACCCATCAGTGAAGACGGAAACGGAGTGCAAGTGAGAAGAAAAGTGCTCAAGGAAAAGGCGTTTTAGAACCGTAGGAGGGTAAAAGCTTTAGTGATGTGGGTCAAGGATGTAAAAAAAACTGCGGAAGGGGGACTCTCCATGGGGGCAAAGAAGGAACAACACGGGGAGATATATTAGAAATACGAACGGAAAGAGAATCCTGTAAGCGAGATAACCGGACAGAAAGAGTGAGGTGGTGAAGAGGAACAGGAACCGCAGGAGGGGTAAAAGTTAAAGCATGACAGGCGAAAGGAAGGATGTTGCAAGGATCGTGAAAGATAGCGAAGACAGTAGCGATCACGGCGGTCCTGGAGAGACAGGAAGCCAGTGTATACATACAAGCTGAGGACGGGAGTCGAACGAAAGGCACCAGAACTGAGGCGCAATCCAGTATGGTGCAAAGCATCAAGACGGCAAAGAGTAGAAGGAGAAGCAGACGAGAAAGCAGGGCAACCATAAATGAGCTTAGACAAGACGAGAGAGGAATGTAAAGCAAGGAGACTGCGCCTAACTGCCCCCAAAGAAGCATGGGACAATACCCGAAGGAGGGCAAGGACCTTAGAGCACTCAACACGGAGGTAAGAGATATGGGGAAACCAAGACAAATGAGTGTCAAAGAATAACCCCAAAAGCTTCACGGAATCTTTGTACTCATGAGGATGACCATAAAGTGACAAAGAGGGACAAAGAATGACCCGTTTCCGAGTAAGTCATGGCACAAGTCTTAGTAGAAGAGAACTTGAAGCCATGATCGGTGGCTCAAGACGACACGGCATCAATCGCAAGCTGAAGCCGGCATTGAAGGAGAGGCGAATCATCACCCTGACAGCAAAGGGTAAGATCATCGACATAGAGAGCGGAGAAGACGCCTGAAGGAAGAGAGGAAAGAAGACCATTGAGGGCAACCAGAAAAAGAGTAGTGCTCAGAACATTACCTTTGGGCACACCTTCATATTGCTGAAAAGAGGCAGAGAGAGCGGTACCAAGCCTCACCCGAAATAGAGGAAGCTGCGGAGAAAGAGAGGGAGATGACCATGAAGGCCAAAAGAATGAAGCTGGGATAGAATATGATAACGCCAAGTGGTGTCATAAGCCTTTTCCAGGCCAAAAAGGGCGGCAACAACGGAGGTCTTTGCAGCAAAAGCAGTACGAATACAGACCAAGTTCACCAGAACATCTGTTGTGCTGTGGCACTTGCAGAAACCAAATTGAGAAGGGGAGAGGAGGTGATGGTGTTCCAGGAACCACATCAGACGAACGTTAAACATACGTTCAAAGAGTTTGCAGACACAACTTGTGAGGGCAATAGGGCGAAAGTCCTTAGGGGATGTTCCCCGAGACCCTGGTTTGTGAACAGGGAGGACAACGGCATCGAGCCAGTCCTCAGGGAATGACGACGACTCCCAGGTCCGATTATACAGACTCAGTAAATACCGAGACGTGCATGGAGGGAGATGGCAAAGCATCTCATAATGAATGCCATCGGAGCCCACTGCCGTAGAACCGCAGAGGGCCAGGGCAGAACGAAGTTCAGAGAGAGAGAAAGGATCGTTATAGGGAAGTCGAAGATGAGTGTAGAAATCTAAAGGACGTGATTCAAGGACAGGTTTACGAAGAAGGAAAGATTGGGGAAGATGAAGACCAGAGCTAACAGAAGAAAAGTGGGAACCTAATTCGGTAGCGACCTGCAACGGGTCCGCCACAAGAGTACCACGGAGGTGAAGGACCGGTGAAACATCGGAAATGAACTTACCCGCTATCTTGCGGATACACTTCCAGATCTGTGGCAGAGGAGTTTCTGACATAATGGTGGAGACATAAGATGCCCAACATTCACGTTTAGCCGTAAGGATAGCTCTACAGGCCACTGCATTTGCTTTCCGAAAGAAAAGTATCGGCCTTCTGCCAATGGCGTTGTCTCTTCCAGGCTGCACGCTTATAGCGGACAGCCCGAGCACAGTCTGCATTCCACCAGGGAACGCACTTCCATGGACCCGGAGAGGAAGAGCAAGGAATAGAGCGGAGGGCAGCATCGAAAACAGTGTCATGAAAAAGGAGGAGAGAACGAGGGAGAGGTCAGAGAGAGCAGCACTGAGGGTAAATAGGTTCCAGTCTGCTTTAGCAAACTGCCACCTAGGGAAGGAAAGGGGAGGGCGAAAAGAGAAAAAGGTAACAAGGATGGGGAAATGGTCACTGCCATGGAGGTCATCAAGAACCTGCCATGTGAAATCTAAGTAAAGAGAAGACGAGCAAAGAGAAAGATCGAGACAGGAAAGGGTGCGAGTCCGAGAGTCCAAATGAGTGGGCTCACCAGAATTCAGAAGAGACAGGGAAGAAGAGAGGATAAATGGCTCAAGAAAGCGACCTCGGGTGTTCGTCAGAACATCACCCCAAAGGGAATGACGACAATTGAAATCACCCAGCAGGAGCACAGGCTCCGGCAAGGAGTCCAGTAGGCGTTTCAGATCAGGAAGAGAACGTGTTCCATGTATCTCGGGGGGAGATACATGGAACAAACCGTGTACCATTTCCCCACAAAGATACGAGCAGCAGAACAATGGAGAGACGAAGGAAAAAGTAAGGGGACAAAGGGAACATCAGAGCGAATCAAGAGAGCAGAAGAAATAGGAGCCCCAACAACAGCTGGGGGGAGAGAGAAAGGAATAGCCACGAAAGCGACCAGGACGAGCACCAAGCATTGGCTCCTGAAGACAGACACAAAGGGGCAAAAACCGCCAAATCAGACGTTGGAGTTTGAGGAAATTGGCGTAATAACCTCGAACGTTCCATTGAAGAATAGAAATCGACGAGAAGAGAAAGGACAACAACAGAGAACAAGGAAGAAACAAAGGAGAAAGAGCAACACAGCACGTTAAAGAAGATCATGGTCGGGATCAGCAAAGTCAGGGTTACTAGTTGTGTTTTTACGGGGGTTGAGCTTTGCTCTTTCGGCCCGCCTCTCAACTGTCAATCAACTGTTTACTAACTACTATTTTTTTTTTTTTTTTTTTTTTTTTTTCCCACACCACACACACACAAACCCCAGGAAGCAGCCCGTGACAGCTGACTAACTCCCAGGTACCTATTTACTGCTAGGTAACAGGGGCACTTAGGGTGAAAGAAACTTTGCCCATTTGTTTCTGCCTCGTGCGGGAATCGAACCCGCGCCACAGAATTACGAGTCCTGCGCGCTATCCACCAGGCTACGAGGCCCCTTAGGGGGCCATGGGTAAACTGAGCAAAGACGGAGGGAAAGAAGCGAGAGAACAGATCAGAGGTGGGCGAGTGGGGTCCAGAGGAGGAAGAGGAGGAGACAACGAAGAGGAGCAGTCAAGGACAGCAGCAGGACAAGTAGAAAGAGGGGAGCGCACCTCAGCAAGGGCAGCAACCGAGAGGGAATCGGGGGTCAAAGAAACCTCCATAGCAGGAACAGGGGGTGCAACCACTGAAACGGGAGGGGAAGGAGCAATCGAGTCAGTAATAGGGGCCAGGGAAGAAAGTGAAACCTTACCCGCCGGGGAGGAGGAAGGAGAGGAGCCAGGCTTACGCTCCTGACTTAGAGACCAGTATCCCAGCAACTACGTACCAGGTAACGGATTCCAGCGTCTCAACAGGAGAAGCTGAACGAGAGCACACACGACGGCCATTAGGAGAGCGATGGACACCAGCCCGCACCAACAGGCGGCGGGAAGAATCAATAGATGGAGGAGAAGGATGGGAAGGAGGATCGGAGGGAGACCAGGAAGAAGACACAGGAGACAGGACAGACCGGGTAGAAAGAAGGGGAACCCCAGACAGAGGACCAGGAGGGGGACCATTTGGGACAGAACTCAGAGGAACAGAGGAGGGGGCAGTGGGTGTATCAGGGTCCAAAGCCCGGAAACGGTTGCGAGTCTGAGGAAGGTGGGAAGGACGAAGAGAGGAAGAGCGCAACACGCGAGCATAAGAGACGTTAGCATAAGGCGGGAGCCGGCGAACTTGGCGCCTCGCCTCAGGAAAAGATAAACGCTCCCAGTGTTCCCGATATGGGCCTCATTGCAGTTGAGGCAGCAAACCTGGGGAGAAGTGCACTCCGACTAAGAGTGACCTTCGCCCCCCCTCACAAAGGACAGAGAGAGACAGTCCCAAAGCAGCGAAGGGCACCATGCCCAAACTTCCAGCACTTGTTACAGAACCTAGGAGAAGGAATGTACTCCTGGACAGAGCACCTGGCACCAGCAAGAATGACCGAGGGTAGAAGGGTCGTACCATCGAAGGTGATCTTCACAACACGAAAGGGTTGACGACGACGACCACGAGGGGGACGAGTAAACGTGTCCACCTGGAGGACACAATGGCCCTGGGCATCGAGGATATGCCGAATATCATCGTGGCAGTCCTGCAGATTCCGAACACCGGTCGCAACATGGGGCGGGAGGAGAATAGTGCCAACAATGGCATTTAACTGAGCGTTCTTTGAGATCCGAACAGGGGTCTCGCCAAGGCAGGATAAGGCAGCCAAGTGGGAAGCTACATCCTGAGAAGGAGCAGCAACGACACGTATATCGAGACGGGTGGGGTTGAGGGTGACAGAGGCATCCACGGAATCAACAAGATGTCGATGGAGGGAGAAATCGTCAGGAGGCGCAGAATCAAGAGGGAGGAGATCAAAGTATTTGGCCCACGAAGCGAGACCAAACAAGGCTTGATAGGCATCAGAACGGGAAGGAATCGAGCGAGTGCGGCCGTGTCGAGGGCGGCGTTGAGAACCCCCAGAGAGAGAGAGAGAGAGAGAGAGAGAGAGAGAGAGAGAGAGAGAGAGAGAGAGAGAGAGGGGTTAAAAGGCGCAGTAGTTACAACTAGAGTTGACGAGGGGACGTCAATCACTGGGGGCTTGGTGCTCGACCCAACCACAGAGGAGGGAGGGGAGCCAAGAGGAGTAGTCAGAGGAGGAGCAAGGTCGGGGCCCAATGCAGCAGAGGCTACAGAGCCCGGTCTTCCAACACGGACCGACTCGGGGGCTTGGTCGCCCACCCCACGAGCCTGAGAAGGTAAAGGAGGAACAGAACACAACATAGGTACGAAAAAGAAACATTCATCCACGAATGTGCCCCCACACCCACCATGGAGCCACAATTAGAGGCAGGACACCCAACAAGAATCTATCGTCGATCATGCCGGGGCCTCCTAGGGGTGCGTCGTGAGTATACGCCCCACAAACGCCACCTTAAGAACCGTCAGTCCGTCGAGATCAGGCTCAGTGATGAAAGGAGGATTGTCAATAAAAGGTTCCCCTCGCTCTCGACGTTGGGTACTACAGTTCTACAACGTTGGGTACTACAATTCTACGGGTGCAAGGGTATGCCTCCCCAAGCACCTGGGCGTCAAAACAGAAGTCCAAAGGAATAACCAAAACAAGCAAAAGGTCAGCAGGAAACGACAAGCAGATAGGAGAAGAGGGGCGAGAAAAACGAAACAGAAGGAAAAGGAAAAGTTGTTCAGCACAATTTGAGAGGACAGCAGCAGGAGCACAAGGTTACAAAAGGACAGGACTGACCCAAGGAGCATCACCCTCCGGCAATCGCCCACTAAGCCCCCCCTCACGGCATCAACGAGCTGATCGGGGAGGGGGGAGTCAAATGGTTATCTGTAAATTGTATAAATTTATTCCCAATATTTATTACCAAGATTCATATGCCCTTGCGTTTCCACGATTATCGAGTTCTTTCCTTCCTGGGAGTTCAGTAATTTAGACACGTTCAGATGGTCAGGGAGGTGGTGGCAGTCGTGTATACAGTAAGCATTTATTCATTAATTTTAAATCAATAATCCGTTCATCTGTTGGTTCCCCTTCGTTCAATATTTCAGTATTGAAACCCTCGGGTAGGTCAGTGAGGGTCACATTGATCTGCAAGCAGTGTTGAGCTGGCCGGGGTATTGAGTGCAAGGTAAGGGCAGAGTAGATAAGGTTATTACAAGTGCTTGACCCGCCCAGTGCTTGACCCGCCCAGTGCTTGACCCGCCCAGTGCTGTAGACTGAAGAACACTGGTGCATGATCAAAACTCAATGATAAACTGAAATAAGTGTAAACATAAATGAGTAGAGAACCCACCACCGGTGTAGAGAACCCACCACCGGTGTAGAGAACCCACCACCGGTGTAGGGAACCCACCACCGGTGTAGGGAACCCACCACCGGTGTAGGGAACCCACCACCGGTGTAGGGAACCCACCACCGGTCTAGAGAACCCACCACCGGTCTAGAGAACCCACCACCGGTCTAGAGAACCCACCACCGGTCTAGAGAACCCACCACCGGTCTAGAGAACCCACCACCGGTCTAGAGAACCCACCACCGGTCTAGAGAACCCACCACCGGTCTAGAGAACCCACCACCGGTCTAGAGAACCCACCACCAGTCTAGAGAACCCACCACCGGTCTAGAGAACCCACCACCGGTCTAGAGAACCCACCACCGGTCTAGAGAACGTACCGGTGTGATGAGGGCGGCCACCCCCACTGGCTGACGGATGGTAACCATGCGCTTGGAGGGGACGCTGCTGGGGATGGTCTCCCCGTACTGGCGCCGCGCCTCCTCCGCGAACCACTCGAAGAAGGAGGCGGAGAAGCCCACCTCGCCGGCCGCCTCAGCCCTGGGCTTACCCTGTGGCGGGAACACGGACAACATCTGGTCATTACGGCAACGGTAGACATTAACTGAAGGTCTCTCAAGTAACTCCAAGAAAAGGAAAGGATAAAATTAATGTAATATTGGTATATCCATTCCTAAAGCAGAGTAAACAAATAAACAATAATTAATGAAGTATACAATTGTATACACATTATATATTTATGGTGAGGCTCCAAGCCTAGTCATAACTGGCACAGTAGATGTCCAAGATAAATGGTCTAGTACATTACCTACAACACAATGTGATAAATGTTGTATTAAGTTACCTAGAGAAAGTATAACAATAAAGTGAGGACAACGCACATTCTCCCTGGTGAGAGTGGTGGCGATGGCGTCCTTGCTGGCCAGCAGACCATCCCGGACCTTGAGGAGCAGCGTCGCCCGCTCCTTCACCGTGGTCAGGCGCCACCTGCTGTACGCCTTGCTCGCCGCCTCTGTCACACACACACACACACACCATCACTAAACTCTCCCATTGTCGCCACTGATTGATTGATGAACCTTAAGCCACCCAGAGGTGGCACGGGCATGACTAGCACGTAAGTGGTTAATATTTACAGTGAATATACTGTATGTAATATATGCATTGTATGTACTAGCTCTATCTATATATCAATCCATTAATGTAACATCACTTGTATGTATATACCTTACCTGAATAAACATCTGAATCTGAATCTGAATATGATCTTTGTCTGGGAAATGGTGTTCATGTTTTATCATGTTACCCTTCATTTGATTACATTTATTTTCATAGTAGTTTTTTTCTTAGAAATCAGGGAGGACAAGAAGTCCACAAGGGCCGTGACGAGGATTCGAACCTACGTCCGAGAGCATCCCAGACACTACCTTAATCGACTGAGCTACGACATGGTCAAAAGAATTGCAACCAGAAATTCTACGTGGATCCTGCAGCCTCTCCGAGACACATACCAGAATTTTACATAATTCCAGGAATTGTGAAAAATCCTGGTTTGTGTCTCGGAGAGGCTGCAAGATCCAAGTAAATTCAGTAGAATTTCTGGTTACAAAGATTTTGACAATGTCGTAGCTCAGTCGATTAAGGCAGCGTCTGGGATGCTCTCGGACGTAGGTTCGAATCCTCGTCACGACCCTTGTGGATTTGTTCATTTGATGCATCACGCTATTGTGATTTCTGTGTATAGGAGGAGAACCACATTTATTCAGCTGGAATTCTATCCTGTTACGACCCTGGGTTCTCCAGTGGAAACCAGAGGTCAAAACTTGAGCTATTAAACTTTCTGGTAGTACAGTTGAGTGCATCTCGAACGGCAATTGTTTGTATCTTCCCTGCCAGACGTAAGACTATTATTGTTTCTCAAAGAGCATTTAAAGACTGAGCTGGGGGTTGATTATTAAATAATAACATAGGCACCAACTTTGCTTACTAATACTTTCTAATCATTTGTAAAGTAACAATACGTTGCATAGGGGAAGATCTTTAATGTGCTTAGCTGCACGATCAATTAGGCTCCTTCCGGCACCACGACATGCGGGAGACCTAGCTGGTGGCTAGGGGTCTTCTCTGGCTGGCGTTCGTGCGGATGAGACCTACTCTGTGGCTGCACCCCTAATCTCCTCCCTTCTCCTCTTACTTATTTCCCTTACCTTAAGTTCCTGTACCATTAAGTTAAGTATTGTATGATTTCTAAGTGTACCTTCTCTGGTAGTAACGATTGGTGAGACCTGGGGGTAGTATGTTGCCAGTGTTTTGGGTAACCCTAAGTGTTGTGTTTTGTATTAGGGTACCACGTGGGGTCGCACTACCCTAAGCTGCATCCAGCTTCAGTGCTTATCCAATAGTACTTTACCCTAGCTTGTTATTAGTGTAAACCTTGTATCCTGCCTATGTGGACCAAGGCTTTTAACGTAAGATAGTGTGGTAAAGTTATTATTATTATTGTTATTGGTGTGAGTGTATATGGGGAGTTGTTAAGGGGTTAATAAATAAGTACATGAATTACAGAGTATCCCTTCTTCCTGTGTGGGAGCGCATTGATCAACCCTTAGACTAACATATATGGTCTAGTAGCAAGTTATTACTACTGTGGATAGTTTATTTTGGGGGCCGGGCCTTTTAGCTCTCCCATATTTGATACTCTTGTCTTCTAACTACCCTTACCCCTTAATAGTACCAGTACCCCATAGAAGCCCCAACACATATATATTTATAACACCTGTGACCCCTGCATGTCCTGTGTTTCTTCTCATAGTCATGGTTTTAATCGAGTCATTTGAGTATCCCTTTTGTGAGTCGTCGGTTGTTAGTCCTTTGGTTGTGACTTGTATAGTCAGTAAGGGACAGTCAGTGTTAAACAGCCTTAGAGTTTTGTGAAGTGAGTGTTCATTAAGGTTGATGCGAGCCATGTTATCGAGGTCAGTCTCCAAGTTTATGTTCTCATATTTCCTTACCGGCGGTATTATAGTGTCTGTGTGACCTTACCGGCGGTATTATAGTGTCTGTGTGACCTTACCGGCGGTATTATAGTGTCTGTGTGACCTTACCGGCGGTATTATAGTCTCTGTGTGACCTTACCGGCGGTATTATAGTCTCTGTGTGACCTTACCGGCGGTATTATAGTCTCTGTGTGACCTTACCGGCGGTATTATAGTGTCTGTGTGACCTTACCGGCGGTATTATAGTGTCTGTGTGACCTTACCGGCGATATTATAGTGTCTGTGTGACCTTACCGGCGATATTATAGTGTCTGTGTGACCTTACCGGCGATATTATAGTGTCTGTGTGACCTTACCGGCGGTATTATAGTGTCTGTGTGACCTTACCGGCGGTATTATAGTGTCTGTGTGACCTTACCGGCGGTATTATAGTGTCTGTGTGACCTTACCGGCGATATTATAGTGTCTGTGTGACCTTACCGGCGTTATTATAGTGTCTGTGTGACCTTACCGGCGGTATTATAGTGTCTGTGTGACCTTACCGGCGGTATTATAGTGTCTGTGACCTTACCGGCGGTATTATAGTCTCTGTGTGACCTTACCGGCGGTATTATAGTCTCTGTGTGACCTTACCGGCGGTATTATAGTCTCTGTGTGACCTTACCGGCGGTATTATAGTCTCTGTGTGACCTTACCGGCGGGTGACCTTACCGGCGACATTAGTCTCTGTGTGACCTTACGGCGACATTAGTCTCTGTGTGACCTTACCGGCGACATTAGTCTCTGATGGACCTAACTCGGCGACATTAGTCTCTGTGTGACCTTACCGGCGACATTAGTCTCTGTGTGACCTTACCGGCGACATTAGTCTCGGTGTGACCTTACCTGCGACATTAGTCTCTGCGGGACCTTACCGGCGACAGTAGTCTCTGTGTGACCTTACCGGCGACATTAGTGTGTGTGACCTTACCGGCGACATTAGTCTCTGTGTGACCTTACCGGCGACATTAGTCTCTGTGTGACCTTACCGGCGACATTAGTCTCTGTGTGACCTTACCGGCGACATTAGTCTCTGTGTGACCTTACCGGCGACATTAGTCTCTGTGTGACCTTACCGGCGACATTAGTCTCTGTGTGACCTTACCGGCGACATTAGTCTCTGTGTGACCTTACCGGCGACATTAGTCTCTGTGTGACCTTACCGGCGACATTAGTCTCTGTGTGACCTTACCGGCGACATTAGTCTCTGTGTGACCTTACCGGCGACATTAGTCTCTGTGTGACCTTACCGGCGACATTAGTCTTGTGGGGTTGGTGACCTTACCGGCGACATTAGTCTCTGTGTGACCTTACCGGCGACATTAGTCTCTGTGTGGACCTTACCGGCGACATTAGTCTCTGTGTGACCTTACCGGCGACATTACTCTGTGTGACCTTACGGCGACCTTAGTCTCTGTGTGACCTTATCGGCGACATTAGTCTCGGGGTGGACCTTACCGACATTACCGTGTGTGACCTTAGCCGGCAGAGACCCCACCATGGTGACACCGGTGGTCGCAGTCTGGGTCCTTTGACGGCGACATTAGTCTCTGTGTGACCTTACCGGCGACATTAGTCTCTGTGTGACCTTACCGGCGACATTAGTCTCTGTGTGACCTTACCGGCGACATTAGTCTCTGTGTGACCTTACCGGCGACATTAGTGTCTGTGTGACCTTACCGGCGGTATTCTAGTGTCTGTGTGACCTTACCGGCGGTATTATAGTGTCTGTGTGACCTTACCGGCGGTATTATAGTGTCTGTGTGACCTTACCGGCGATATTATAGTGTCTGTGCGACCTTACCGGCGGTATTATAGTGTCTGTGTGACCTTACCGGCGATATTATAGTGTCTGTGCGACCTTACCGGCGGTATTATAGTGTCTGTGTGACCTTACCGGCGGTATTATAGTGTCTGTGCGACCTTACCGGCGGTATTATAGTGTCTGTGTGACCTTACCGGCGATATTATAGTGTCTGTGTGACCTTACCGGCGGTATTATAGTGTCTGTGTGACCTTACCGGCGGTATTATAGTGTCTGTGTGACCTTACCGGCGGTATTATAGTGTCTGTGACCTTACCGGCGGTATTATAGTGTCTGTGTGACCTTACCGGCGGTATTATAGTGTCTGTGTGACCTTACCGGCGGTATTATAGTGTCTGTGTGACCTTACCGGCGGTATTATAGTGTCTGTGTGACCTTACCGGCGGCGTCTGTGTGAGAGTTTACTAGTGGTACATGTATGTGTGTGTGTGTGTGACCTTTCCAGCCAGAACAAGGTGTGCGAGGTCTTACCGATAGCTTCGTGGAGGTCGTCGACGGTACAGTCGGCGACGCTGGCTATTGTCTGGCCCGTGGCCGGGTCGTGGACGGGGAAGGTGCCGCCCCGTCCCGCCCTCCACGACCCTCCGATGTATGCCTCCCTCACTATCACCTCAGACGACGTCATGGCTCCTCTCTGTAATAACACAGGTTTACTGCACTATGCGACTCTCAGTCACCATCCACGGTCCTCAATCATCATCCATGCTCCAGTCACCATCCATGGTCCACAGTGACCAATAATGGTCCACAGTCACCATCCATGGTCCACAGTGACCAATAATGGTCCACAGTCACCATCCATGGGCCACAGTGACCAATAATGGTCCACAGTCACCATCCATGGGCCACAGTGACCAATAATGGGCCACAGTCACCACCCATGGGCCACAGTGACCAATAATGGTCCACAGTCACCATCCATGGGCCACAGTCACCATCCATGGGCCAGTACTTCATAAAAAGCCGTTACAAAAGTTGGAACAACAGGCAGGAGTTAAAGGTAAGGTGCTCCAGGGGATAAGGAAGTATGTAAGCAACAGGAAACAGCGAGTAACTCAGGCCTCTGTACATGAACACGTCGTGTTTCTGATATATGTAAACGACCTTCTGGAGGGTATAGACTCATTCCTCTCAATGTTTGCTGATGATGCAAAGGTTATGAGAAGAATCAAGACGGATGAAGATAAACAGAGACTACAGGATGACCTGGACAAACTGGAGGAACGGTGTAGAAAATGGTTACTAACGTTTAACTCAGGAAAGTGTAAGGTGATGAAATTAGGCGACGGGAGCAGGAGGCTGAACACAAGGTACCATCTGGGAGGTGAAATCCTGCAAGAGTCAAATAGAGAGAAAGATCTGGGGGTTGATATCACACCGAACCTGTCCCCAGAGGCCCACATCAAAAGAATATCATCAGCGGCATATGCTAGGTTGGCCAACATAAGAACTGCCTTTAGAAACTTTTGTAAGGAATCTTTCAGAACCTTGTATACCACTTATGTCAGACCAATCCTGGAATATGCAGCTCCAGCCTGGAGTCCATACCTAGTTAAACACAGAATTCAGAATGTCAGTGTCAGAGTAGTTAGCAGGTGGAATGCATTAGGAAGTGATGTGGTGGAGGCTGACTCCATACACAGTTTATAATGTAGATATGATAGAGCCCAATAGACTCAGGAATCTGTACACCAGTTGAGAGGCGGGACCAAAGAGCCAGAGCTCATCCCCCGCAAACACAACTAGGTGAGTACAAGACAAAGTTAGAGAAGACTCCTCACCAACCTGCTCCTCCACCTGCTACTATCATATTGTGTCAGTAATCTCTCCTATCATACACGGCTCAAGGCCACACCTAGAGTTAACCACACTGCAGGCCAGGCATGACACGGCGGATCTCATCCAAACATAAAATACATTATATAATAATATAATATAATATTTTATATACAAGAAGGTACAATGGGTTGGTGAGATTACATTAGTGATATTTTTACATTCAAATAAGTAATTTTATTTATTTATTTTACATACATACTAAACAAACATACACCATACATACATAAACATAGTAAACAAAATGTAAACATATATACTGAACAATTTGGAGGTTGTTGAGCCGGTTAACCTCTTCAGAGGTCAGATGTAACACCAACAAGGAGCAGCGGGTCCAGCTCAACAGCCACAATGTTGGACTGACAACACCAGATGCTCTTACACCCACAGGGTTATTAACCCACGGAACCGCCTACCCGCCGCACCGCTAAACGCCAAGACTCTGATGGGTTTTAAAATACAACTGAAAAAGATCATCAGGATAAATGGGGGAACCTTTGACAAGCCGCTGGCTTCCAGTCCTCACCTAGGCCACTAATATACTGACCCTCGGGTAAATTCAGGTAAAATCCTCACCTGCACTCTCCTCCACCTACTGTCATCACCACCACCAACCGTGGGTGTGGGGGTACCAACCGTGGGTGTGGGGGTACCAACCGTGGGTGTGGGGGTACCAACCGTGGGTGTGGGGGTACCAACCGTGCGCGTGGGGGTACCAACCGTGCGCGTGGGGGTACCAACCGTGCGCGTGGGGGTACCAACCGTGCGCGTGGGGGCCACCAACCGTGCGCGTGGGGGCCACCAACCGTGCGCGTGGGGGCCACCAACCGTGCGCGTGGGGGCCACCAACCGTGCGCGTGGGGGCCACCAACCGTGCGCGTGGGGGCCACCAACCGTGCGCGTGGGGGCCTCCAACCGTGCGCGTGGGGGCCACCAACCGTGCGCGTGGGGGCCACCAACCGTGCGCGTGGGGGCCACCAACCGTGCGCGTGGGGGCCACCAACCGTGCGCGTGGGGGCCACCAACCGTGCGCGTGGGGGCCACCAACCGTGCGCGTGGGGGCCACCAACCGTGCGCGTGGGGGCCACCAACCGTGCGCGTGGGGGCCACCAACCGTGCGCGTGGGGGCCACCAACCGTGCGCGTGGGGGCCACCAACCGTGCGCGTGGGGGCCACCAACCGTGCGCGTGGGGGCCACCAACCGTGCGCGTGGGGGCCACCAACCGTGCGCGTGGGGGCCACCAACCGTGCGCGTGGGGGCCACCAACCGTGCGCGTGGGGGCCACCAACCGTGCGCGTGGGGGCCACCAACCGTGCGCGTGGGGGCCACCAACCGTGCGCGTGGGGGCCACCAACCGTGCGCGTGGGGGCCACCAACCGTGCGCGTGGGGGCCACCAACCGTGCGCGTGGGGGCCACCAACCGTGCGCGTGGGGGCCACCAACCGTGCGCGTGGGGGCCACCAACCGTGCGCGTGGGGGCCACCAACCGTGCGCGTGGGGGCCACCAACCGTGCGCGTGGGGGCCACCAACCGTGCGCGTGGGGGCCACCAACCGTGCGCGTGGGGGCCACCAACCGTGCGCGTGGGGGCCACCAACCGTGCGCGTGGGGGCCACCAACCGTGCGCGTGGGGGCCACCAACCGTGCGCGTGGGGGCCACCAACCGTGCGCGTGGGGGCCACCAACCGTGCGCGTGGGGGCCACCAACCGTGCGCGTGGGGGCCACCAACCGTGCGCGTGGGGGCCACCAACCGTGCGCGTGGGGGCCACCAACCGTGCGCGTGGGGGCCACCAACCGTGCGCGTGGGGGCCACCAACCGTGCGCGTGGGGGCCACCAACCGTGCGCGTGGGGGCCACCAACCGTGCGCGTGGGGGCCACCAACCGTGCGCGTGGGGGCCACCAACCGTGCGCGTGGGGGCCACCAACCGTGCGCGTGGGGGCCACCAACCGTGCGCGTGGGGGCCACCAACCGTGCGCGTGGGGGCCACCAACCGTGCGCGTGGGGGCCACCAACCGTGCGCGTGGGGGCCACCAACCGTGCGCGTGGGGGCCACCAACCGTGCGCGTGGGGGCCACCAACCGTGCGCGTGGGGGCCACCAACCGTGCGCGTGGGGGCCACCAACCGTGCGCGTGGGGGCCACCAACCGTGGGTGTGGGGGTACCAACCGTGGGGTGTGGGGGTACCAACCGTGGGGTGTGGGGGTACCAACCGTGGGTGTGGGGGTACCAACCGTGGGTGTGGGGGTACCAACCGTGGGTGTGGGGGTACCAACCGTGGGTGTGGGGGTACCAACCGTGGGTGTGGGGGTACCAACCGTGAGTGTGGGTACCAAGGTGGCGCGGAGCGTGTGAACCAGGTACCGTCCTGGGCGAGGGTCGGGCGGCTACTGACCCGTCCCACCTTCCTCGCCTCCGTCTATAACTTGTTCAGAATTGGTTGTTTATAGTTTACCTCACTTATTATGCACCCCATACCCATGTTGTGGGCGGTAGTGGTAAGGGTTACAGAGGCACATAATGGGCTCAGGGACTGAACCCCACAATTCATTGAGCTAAACAAGTTGATGAGCTTGATGAGCTAGTTACAAAATTCAATACACATCGTCACATCAACAATGGGTTCGAGATCGACCTCAAGTACAGGTTCTAAATTAAGCAACTGACATATGTGGAGAGCTAGTGTCACAATTGACGTTTCTCCTGCACACCGCCCCCCATCCAGTGGGCAGCGGTGGATAGGTTACACCCCCCCCCCCATCCAGTGGGCAGCGGTGGATAGGTTACACCCCCCCCCCATCCAGTGGGCAGCGGTGGATAGGTAACACCCCCCCCGCATCCAGTGGGCAGCGGTGGATAGGTTACACCCCCCCCATCCAGTGGGCAGCGGTGGATAGGTTCCAACCCCCCCCCCCCCCCGGTGGATAGGTTACACCCCCCCCCCCATCCAGTGGGGCAGCAGTGGGCAGCGGTGGATAGGTTACACCCCCCCCCATCCAGTGGGCAGCGGTGGATAGGTTCCAACCCCCCCCCCCAGCGGTGGATAGGTTACACCCCCCCCCCCCCCCATCCAGTGGGCAGCGGTGGATAGGTTACACCCCCCCCCCATCCAGTGGGCAGCGGTGGATAGGTTCCAGTAGTTACACCCCCCCCCCATCCAGTGGGCAGCGGTGGATAGGTTACACCCCCCCCCCATCCAGTGGGCAGCGGTGGATAGGTTACACCCCCCCCCCATCCAGTGGGCAGCGGTGGATAGGTTACACCCCCCCCATCCAGTGGGCAGCGGTGGATAGGTTACACCCCCCCCCCCCCATCCAGTGGGCAGCGGTGGATACAACCCCCCCCCCAATCCAGTGGGCAGCGGTGGATAGGTTACACCCCCCCCCCATCCAGTGGGCAGCGGTGGATAGGTTACACCCCCCCCCATCCAGTGGGCAGCGGTGGATAGGTTACACCCCCCCCCATCCAGTGGGCAGCGGTGGATAGGTTCCAACCCCCCCCCAATCCAGTGGGCAGCGGTGGATAGGTTACACCCCCCCCCATCCAGTGGGCATCGGTGGATAGGTTACACCCCCCCCCCATCCAGTGGGCAGCGGTGGATAGGTTACACCCCCCCCCCATCCAGTGGGCAGCGGTGGATAGGTTACACCCCCCCCCATCCAGTGGGCAGCGGTGGATAGGTTACATCCCCCCCCCCCCCCATCCAGTGGGCAGCGGTGGATAGGTTACACCATCCCCCCCCCCCAATCCAGTGGGCAGCGGTGGATAGGTTACAATCACTTAGTTTTCAAAAATTCAAATGTTTATTCAGGTAAAGTACATACATAACAGGTGTGATACAAAAGTTGATAGATTTATAGATAGAGCTAGTACATACAAGGCCTAAAGCCACTATTACTCAAAGCGTTTCGGGCAGGAAAAACACTAATGACTAAAACTTAATGCTAATCGAGATTAAAGTATAAAATGTGTTGAGAAAATATAAAAATAAAAAAGGGGGAACATGGCAGAAAAACAGCAAATACACAATTAGGCCAACAAACAACATTGTTTAAAATAACAGACACGGGTTGACATTATAGGGGGGTAAGGTAGGTTACATGGAGTTAATTAGGTAGCACTTAGTTTTAATCTTAAACTGGTTGAGAGAGGTACAGTCTTAACATGGTTGGGAAGGTCATTCCACATTCTGGGTCCCTTGATTTGTAGAGCATTTCTGGTTTGATTAAGTCGTACTCTTGGAATATCAAATAGGTATTTGTTTCTGGTGTGGTGCTCATGGGTTCTGTTACAACCTTCTAGGAAGCATTTAAGGTGTTAAAGGCTTTAAGAAAATATTTATTGTACTACTAATAAATAATTAGGCCCCCATGCTGTTGGTGTCTTTTTCCCTCCATGATCAGAAATAATAATAACTTATTTGCAAGAAGGTACAATGGGTTGGTGAGATTACATAAGCTTGGTAACCTGACATTCATGCAAAGTCACTAACACGCATAGAGTTTCGGGCAGGTCCTTAATCTAACATATATCAGATAAGATGAAAGGGTATATTGTAGCAGGGTCTTTATATCATCAGATAAGTACACATAAGTTGACAGAGGTGATTACACTGGTAAAGATATATATATACATGTCTCAAGTACTAATAATGGGGAAGTTGGCAGCGCAAGATATAGTGTAAGTTTGAAGCATCTCTCGTATCAGGAACGGTTGAAGGTCACAGAGCTAACAACACCAAACCAGGCATGACAGGGCGGATCTCATTGAAACATATAAAAATACAATATGATAATATAATATACAATATAATAATAATAATAATAATATAATATTAATTTATATATAATTTAAGTATACCCAAAATCATTTACGTCCTCTTGATTACTCAACACAAAGCTGCTATTAGGACAATATCCAACTCTGGCCCCAGACATCACTCGGTACCCCTACTCAAATCTCTGAATATGTTAGATATTAAGTCTTTGCACTTCCTCTCTTGTGTATTATATATATATATATATATATATATATATATATATATATATATATATATATATATATATATATATATATAATACATATATACTTCACTATACTATATATATATATATATATACTTCACTATCACTACTATTTCACTATCACTCGGGTGTGTTGTGATATTACCATACTGGCGAAAACAATTGAATTCTTTACAAAGAATTCAAGCGCAGTCGTCACTATGTGGGATACACTGGTAAACAACTGAGTGTGCCTCGTCCTGCGCCCAGCACCACGCGCTAGCTAGACCCATACACATATCAACAGATGTCGTATTCCAAGTAAAATGTCGTACACCAATTCAAATTTTACGATGAATTTGATGTCATAGACCAAAACATTTGTATCCTAGGGCAGTCGTACATCAAGGTGTACATTCATATCAGTCGAACACTATCTATATATATATATATATATATATATATATATATATATATATATATATATATATATATATATATATATATATATATATATATATATATATATATATATATACATAAAACGCTGAACTGTAATGTCAATCCTGACCTTAAAAGCTTCCAAGAAGGTTGTAACAGATCCCATGAGCACCACACCAGAAACAAATACCTATTTGATATTCCTAGAGTACGACTTAATCAAACTAGAAATGCTCTACAAATCAAGGGACCCAGAATGTGGAATGACCTTCCCAACCATGTTAAAGACTGTACCTCTCTCAACCAGTTTAAGATAAAAACTAAGTACTACCTAATTAACTCCCAGTAACCTACCTAGTCAACCCTAAATGTCAACCCATGTCTACGATTTTATACAATGCTGTTTGTTGACCAAATTGTATTTTTGCTTTTTTTCTGCCATTTTCCCCCCCCCCTTTTTTTCATTTTTTTCTTATTTTTTCTCAACACAATTTATACTTTAATCTCAATTAGTATTAAGTTTTAGTCTTTTTTTCCTGCCCGAAACGCTTTGCGTAATAGTGGCTTTAGGCACTGTATGTACTAGCCCTATCTATAAATCCATCAACTTTTGTATCTTACCTTGTATGTATGTACTTTACCTGAATAAACATTTGTATTTGTATTTGAATATAATATATAATTATAATTATATAATATTTATATAATTATAAAGTATATAATACTTACCTAAATACAGTATTATACATTATAATATTTTATAAATATTTTTAAATATTATATAAATATAATATTGTATTCACAAGATAGGTACAATGGGTGGGTTACATTACAGTGATATTTTTACATTCTACTGAGTAATTTTATTTATTTTAAAAACATACTAAACACATTTTTACAAACTTACTAAACAAAGGTGAATATATACCTTTGTTCAGTTCTTTATTAAATCCTTTAAATCCTCTAGACTATTGGAGCTATCTATAAATTTCTCAATACTAATATAACTGTATTCTCAGATAACCTAAGAAATCTTATCATTTATTTATTTATATACAAGAAGGTACATTGGGTTTATGAGAGTACATAGATAGCACTGATTACATACTTCACAATGTATCTGTAGCGAGTAGATTATCCCAATAATATACTCGCTCCAAATGCATTGTTAATATTCCTGTCAACCTTTGGAGATGAATGAGGTGAGGCGTTGCTCGGGCAACACGGTGAGGCGTTGCCCGGGCAACACGGTGAGGTGTTGCCCGAGCAACACGGTGAGGCGTTGCCCGGGCAACACGGTGAGGTGTTGCCCGAGCAACACGGTGAGGTGTTGCCCGGGCAACACGGTGAGGCGTTGCCCGGGCAACACGGTGAGGTGTTGCCCGAGCATATAAGCAGCAGGGGCCAGATTCACGAAAGCACTTACGCAAGCTCTTACGAACGTGTACATCTTTCCTCAATCTTTGATGGCTTTGGTTACATTTATTAAACCATTTACAAGCATGAAAACTTGCCATTCAACTGTTGTTATTGTTATAAACAGCCTCCTGGTGCTTCGGAGCTCATTAACTGTTTAATAATTGGAAACAAAGCCGCCAAAGATTGAGAAAAGATGTACAGGTTCGTAAGTGTTTGCGTAAGTGGTTTCGTGAATCTGGCCCCAGAATAGCAAACATTAACTAGTCTACTTTCAAGTGTGGTCTAGAGCAGACACTTGCGAAATACTGTACCGACGCCCAGTGCGCTCAACTCACACCAAAGTATCACCTGTGTACTTCTGTATATTCGACCAAATATATATATATAGTATCTTAGTGTCTGTGTTTATTTGTCACCATACTTTACGTAACAATAGAACCGTTACATATCTAGTGTTACCCAATCCCCCAATATTTGTATCTAAGTCATATTACTTTACCATTGTAATCTTAGATATCATCTGATATCATGGTTATTGTATTG